GGGACTCGGAGTTGAACCGCTCCTCCTTCGCGTCGAAAGGAGCCAGTTGAGGTGGTTCGGGCACCTAGTTAGGATGCCACCTGGGCGCCTCCCTAGGGAGGTGTCCAGGCACGTCCAGCTGGGAAGAGACCAAGGGGTAGACCTAGAACCAGATGGAGGGATTATATCTCTTCGCTGGCCTGGGAGCGCCTTGGGATCCCCCAGTCAGAGCTGGTTGATGTGGCCAGGGAAAAGAAAGTTTGAGGCTCTCTGCTGGAACTGCTACCTCCGCGACCCGACCACGGATAAGCGGGAGAAGATGGATGGATGCTTATATAAATCACATCTGCTGTGGGTACCACCAACACATGCACACACGAGCAGACGAACATGTAGTTGTTCTGAATTGTGTTAGTCATTTATTTCTTTAATCCTGAGTAGTAATGAGTCCTTCCAGCCACCTTGCCTCTGTCGCTCTACAGAACGGCCCGCAGGAGGAATTGCATCTGACATTTTTGCAACCGTATTGATTGCTCGGTTGAAGAACATAACATATCAGTTTGTTTTTGCCACACTATTTATAAACTGAGGGACATCAGTGTAGTGAAAGGATCCTTTATTTAATGAAATGCATTTTAAAGTACAGGAAGAGCCACAAGTTGATTCCTGATTTTCCATGAGAAGATATGCTTCACCAAGTCCATGTTCACTTCTATGATATAATATATATTTAAGTTGATTCTACTGTCTCCTACTAAGTGTCCTTTTGTAGTTGTTAACATGTAATATAACTGGATTCAAATGGCAGTGTTTTAATTCTGGGCTCTTAAACACATTTTCTGTCGTCACTTTTGAAGTTGTATTGGACTTTGCATCACTTTGTTGAAGTTTATTATAATGATTACAGGTATTATGATTTCTACCGTGTTGTAGGCTCTCTTTCTCCATCCAACATGTCTGGGATGTGTCTGGAGCCACATACCTGCTATGTGCTCCACACTGGGGATGGCCATGGTGCTGTATTTGTGGATGCAGTGGCAGCACCAGGTCAGTTTCTGGCTCTCCTCGCCCCCCCCTCCGCTGCCTTGTGAGTCCACGAAGTAGGAGCCCCACTGCTGGGACACGTCAGACGGAGCCTTCATGCCCTGCTCCTGCAGAGACACACACACCTGACTGAGACTGTGCTCACATTCATTCTGGGACATGTGCAGACCTGATAAAAGGAGGAAGGAATTCCACCCTTAGCTATATAAACTTCAAACTGGCTTCAACGCAGGCGGCTTTCTGGGGCTTTACTGACTGCTGCATGAATCATTAGTTCTGAGCAGAGAGGGCAAGAGTACACACATCCTTCAGTCAAGTAGAAGTACAGACTCCCATGTTTAAAAATACTCTGGTAAAAGTACTGACTACACTTTTTTACTGAAGTCAAAGTAGTATGGGCTTTGAAATGTAGTAAAGTAAGTCAAAAGTAGCCATAACTACCAGCTGTTTTATAGAACACCTCCCTCATATATGGCCTTGGGTTATTAGGATGTCTCCGTTCTCAGTCGAGTCGATATCGCTAACTTCACCTGTCTCTCTCTGAAGTTAGTTGAAAGCAATAGTATTAAGTTGAACGTATTATTTTTTTATTAAAAGTAATATTGTTTTTTTTCTACTAACCTAATTTGTTGACATAATACATTTAATTAAAGTCAACGTTTCAGTTTTTCTTTCAGTGTAAATGTATTATGTCAAATAACTGTAATAACTGTTTCTCCAGAAATGTGTTGTCATTTAATTCAAGTCAACGTTTCAGTCCTGCATCTTCCTCTTCCCCAACATTAGCCCTTCTTCTTGCTGCTTCTGCCTAGCTCCGTTGAAATAGTTTCCTAGGCTACTGGCACCGTTTGAAATAGGTGCGCAATGACTAAATAATAATGATCATGCCACCAAATGCAGATTAAAACTAAAGTAACAAGCCTGTTTTGAAAATGTAAGAAGTAGAAAGTACAGTAGTATTTTGTTAAACAGTAGTAATAAGGGGTACAAGTATAAGTTGTCAGAAAAATAAATAGTGGAGAAAACTCGATTGAAGTACATTAACAAAGTATTTGTACTTAATTTCCCACCTCTGGTTCTGAGACTCTGCGTTGTTAGCTATGATCACATCATGATCACATCAGTTTTATACACAGAGAGATGATGAGCAAGGATTAGCCCACAGGAAGTGAAACCTCACAAACCACAGTGAGAAATGTGTGCCTTGCACAATATCAGCTGATGCCATCAGGAACTGCTATATGGTATTCAGAGAGGATGAAAAAACATCTGCAAGATTTAGATCATGCTGTTATGGAGATTGTACCAAATATATATAAATATAATATTTGAGAAGGGAGAACAAAAAAGAAGACGGAGCAATTTCTTTCAGCAGAAAAAGCAGAACTAACCAACCCAGATGAGAGGGATCCTCTGCACTGCCACTGTAATGCGTATGCTTATTTGAATCTATTTGAAGGTTTTCCAACACATTACTCAAATAAGACTTCCCCATGGTTGTTTGGCATTAATCGTACAAGCTACCAATTAAAAAAAATATTTTTATAACAAAGGAAATGTCACAGCTCATTTACATTGGAGAAATAATTAACGAGACGATAATACTTTATTGGTCAGATCAAGTCTGAAATTTGACTTGCGTCACAGCAGCTCCATGTCCAACATCAACAGACAAGTATCCAGACACAATACATGAAACACAAAAAACAAACATTTAACATAACAGCACAATCAGTGAGAGAAAACATGCTCAAAGAACCTTCAGCCGTGCATTTGATCTGGGGTTTAGCTCTGTATTTACTGTGAGGATTGACTGATGCACGAAGGAGTGCTTCAGTCTGACTTTATTGAATCGTGGGACCCTGTATCTCCGATTAGATGGTAGCAGTTCATATTCACTATTCAGAACATAGTTTGGGTCAGAGATGATGTTGTTGGACAGCCTCACTAGGTTGTTATGATAGGCTGAGTCATAGATTCTCTGACAGGGTTGACCAACAATCTTTGAGCAGATTTTTAACAGGTGGAGCAGTTTTGATTTTAAAGATGCTGACAAACATTTGTACCAGGTAGTATTGCAGTATAGACATGATCAAAGATGTAAAGAACAACAGAAGAATTTCTCTGCTCGCCCCAAAAGACCTAAGACGGCGGAGAAAATAAATTCTTTGTTTTGTCCTTTTGCACAGATATTCAATGTGATCCTTTCATGACAGCAGATGGTCAATCATTACACCCAAGTATTTATATGAAACTCCCTGCTTGATTTCATCTGTATGGATGACAATGGGGACTTTATGGGTACTCAGATGGTGAGCCAAAAATGATTTCCTCAGTTTTCTTGGTGTTGATCTCAAGAGCATTGTTATCAGTCCACTCAATCACCTGATTTACAGCCGACAGACGACTCTGAGCTGCACCAACAGGCTGTTGGTGCAGCTCAGAGTCGTCTGTGTTACTGAGCAGAGATATTATTGCAGTGTCATCAGAGTACTTAATGATGACTTGATTTTGTGTGTTGGTACGACAATCATCAGTGTATAGAGTAAAGAGCACAGCTGAACTCACGCAGCCCTGGGGGGCCCCTACATTGGTTGTGATGGCAGATGACAGGGTTTTGTTAACCTTCACAAGTTGCTCTCTACTAGTGAGGAAAGCA